GAAAAAAGAAACTGTGGGAGAGATTCTTTCTTACTTTTTTGACAGAAGAGTTCTAGTCACTGTTGATACTCTGAAGTTAAACCCAGAAGGAAGCTTCTTTCATCAGTTGCTCCACTGTGTCAGAGATGGTAGCACCATTACAGTAAACTGTGCGCAGTGAGATGATACTGAGTTTGGCTGAACCCACAAAGGTTAGGAAAGAACAAAAATAAAAGCTTTGTGGATGTCTTCTTGGTTTTCTGAAAGTTTGGAATCATACTTTGTTACATTTTCTTACTTCAAACTCTTTATTGTTAATATTGATTTTATTCATATAAAAGTGATTTTTTTACTCTGATTACTTAAAGCAAGACTTTTCATATTTTTAGAGACAAACTGATGAAGAGTAACATATTTTATTGAAAGCTTAGTGGGCAGTTTATCATTCCTATCAAATATTAGCCTAGTTAACTAGTTTGCAAAGTTTGGTCTAGATTGCTCCATTGGAACCTCTGAAGCCCCAGCAGCATTCTGGCTGGCCAATCACAGCTCTCTATTGGGTCTTCAAACTGATAAAGCGCTGTGATTGGTCCACAATGGTGGGCCACAGCAGTCCATTGGCTCTGTGGGCCATTCACAGCGCTCTATTGGTTTCGTGGGCGGGATGTTGTATTTAAGTCCTTTATTTAGAAAAAAGGATGTATTTCTGCCTTCTTCAACAGCGGACTGCCTCGTTTACAACATCCGTTGTGTTGAGTACATCATGTTGTTTTTTGTCCAGTAGCATGTGGAGATCGTTTGAAAGACAATGGTAGAACCCATCAAAGGAGCGTTGTCAGACTAAACAATATGTTTATTTAGTCTTGCTTGCTAGGCTAATCAAATATATGAACACTAAACGACTACACTTCAGTTTATTAGAGTCCATACAGGACACAGAAAACAAGACCTGGACATTGTCACTGACTTTTATTTCTCACATTTTGTTGTCAGTGAGCCCCACGTCCCTCCAGGACTCAGTAATCACCCACTACTCTGGAGTTGTATTATACCCTACCTGACTGACTGCAGGTCAAAGATCAGCTGCTCAAACTACTAAAAGCCACAGGGTGACATTTCTGAGGTTTTCTGCTGTGGTGGCCTTGCCCAAAGGGAGAAACATAAGAACAAGTATTGGTTTTCCTAGACCTGTTAACCTCTACGACCCAACTTTAGAATAGAGATGGAGGGATGGGCTTTTTATAGTTATGGGTAATATTTTATAAAGTATTTTCATGCAATCATATATATCACAAAAAAGCTACCATATGCTGCTTACACAATTAAGACCCTGTCCATCACAGAGAATGTAGAACAATAGAAATGGAAAAATAGTCAGTTATGAAAAATCTTCAGCAACTTGGATGAAGCATCAAAACCATTTTTCCCAAAGAAAAATAAGATTAAATAAACTCACCAAGTGACTTCAGCTCCTTTAAGTCTGCCTTTGCTAAGCGTGTTTGAGTGTAGATCCTCTATCTTTTTGCAAAGATTGTATCTGATAAAACTTAGGTGCAAATTTAGCCCAGGGCTTTATGTAATTGAGATAAAACTGTCACACCTTTGGCCCGAGAGCTACAAACAGGAACTCAAGGATCACAGCCCACATCTCTGGGCACTTGTCAGCCATAAGTAATGGATTTTGTAATATGTGATTAACCCAAGGTTCAAGATTGCATTCCGATTTAATCATGGCTCATTCTGCGGTGCATGAAACAGTGCAGTGAGCTTCAGTTCCGCCTAAAAAGGTAAAAATTACAGAATTCATTCTTCCATGTCAAGGCTGAGGATACAGTTTGTGTTACTGTGCAGAAGTCAGTGGAGCAGAAAGGACTTCAACTACGACAAATGAGAAATAATGAGAAGTGAGAGGCACTGTGTTGACCGTATACTCCATTGTAATGGGATGAAAGTGGAGGTGCACAGGAGTGAAAGCAGACATTACTGACTTAATTCATAAAAAACAAATGTATTTGATTTTTTTTGTTTGTTTTTTACTATTTGGGATTATTTGCAGAAGACAAGACAAGAATGATGTAGTAAAAAGTTAAGCTTTTGGTTGAAGTAAAGTGGTGAGAGGTTAAAGTACTCCAGTTGGGCGTTTGTGTGATGGAATGTTAGAACCAATCATCATAGGAAAAATTAGGAGAAAGGGCATTTTTCCCAGTTTTGAGATTATTTTGAGGTTTAAAATGAACCAAACCAACAATAGTAATAAAACATTCAATGCCCATAGTGTGTTAACTTATTATGGTGCCTTTACTAAGGAACAGGTTTGTCAACATCGGTGTGAATGTGTGTGTACATGGGTGAATGAGTTAGTAGAGTAAAGCACCTTGGGAGGTTCTAGGACTCTAGAAACCATTTACCATTAAAACATAAAATTTTTATATAAATAGACAATAACAGGGATTTGTACACTACCTGTGAATAACTTTCTTGGATCCTTCGTGAAATATTGAGGATTTTTCTGTAAATGTTCGGTTTTATTCAAAACTTTATTTGACTTTTTACTCACAAAAGTTACATTTTATTCTCTCCTAAACATTTTTACTTTATAAAAGTAAAAAATCCCTTTAATTTACATTTTTTTGTTCTCAACAACATACATTAATATTAAAACTGGCAAAAAAAAAAAAATTCTTCTAGCTCACCGCAACCCTTAGGCTGTTTCTCAATACGCATACTACACATTTCATCCAAGAACAGATTACAAGTATGATCGGAGTCTGATTCCAGATCAAGCTGCACTTTCCTCTGACACAGTGTCCCTGTAACAATCCTAATGTGGTTGAGTTATACTGATATTCCTGACCAGATGTGTGAATGTTTATCTCACTGTCTACATTCAGAGATCTCTGGCGCGGTCATGTTTCACTTCCCTGAAAAAAGATTTGTGCAACAATTTATTTTAAGATTACAGGGAGTGCAGAATTATTAGGCAAGTTGTATTTTTGAGGAATAATTTTATTATTGAACAACAACCATGTTCTCAATGAACCCAAAAAAAACTCAACATCAAAGTTGAATGTTTTTGGAAGTAGTTTTTAGTTTTAGCTATTTTAGGGGGATATCTGTGTGTGCAGGTTATTACTGTGCATAATTATTAGGCAACTTAAAAACAAATATATACCCATTTCAATTATTTATTTTTACCAGTGAAACCAGTATAACATCTCCACATTCCCAAATATACATTTCTGACATTCAAAAACAATACAAAAACAAATCAGCGACCAATACAGCAACCTTTCTTTGCAAGGACACTCAAAAGCCTGCCATCCATGGATTCTGTCAGTGTTTTGATCTGTTCACCATCAACATTGCGTGCAGCAGCAACCACAGCCTCCCAGACACTGTTCAGAGAGGTGTACCGTCTTCCCTCCTTGTAAATCTCACATTTGTTGATGGACCACAGGTTCTCAATGGGGTTCAGATCAGGTGAACAAGGAGGCCATGTCATTAGTTTTTCTTCTTTTATACCCTTTCTTGCCAGCCACGCTGTGGAGTACTTGGACGCGTGTGATGGAGCATTGCCCTGCATGAAAATCATGTTTTTCTTGAAGGATGCAGACTTCTTCCTGTACCACTGCTTGAAGAAGGTGTCTTCCAGAAACTGGCAGTAGGACTGGGAGTTGATCTTGACTCCATCCTCAACCCGAAAAGGCCCCACAAGCTCATCTTTGCTGATACCAGCCCAAACCAGTACTCCCCCTCCACCTTGCTGGCGTCTGAGTCGGACTGGAGCTCTCTGCCCTTTACCAATCCAGCCACGGGCCCATCCATCTGGCCCATCAAGACTCACTCTCATTTCATCAGTCCATAAAACCTTAGAAAAATCAGTCTTGAGATATTTCTTGGCCCAGACTTGACGTTTCAGCTTGTGTGTGTTGTTCAGTGGTGGTCGTCTTTCAGCCTTTCTTACCTTGGCCATGTCTCGGAGTATTGCACACCTTGTGCTTTTGGGCACTCCAGTGATTTTGCAGCTCTGAAATATGGCCAAACTGGTGGCAAGTGGCATCTTGGCAGCTGCACGCTTGACTTTTCTCAGTTCATGGGCAGTTATTTTGCGCCTTGGTTTGTCCACATGCTTCTTGCGACCCTGTTGACTATTTTGAATGAAACGCTTGATTGTTCGATGATCACGCTTCAGAAGCTTTGCAATTTTAAGACTGCTGCATCCCTCTGCAAGATATCTCACTATTTTTGACTTTTCTGAGCCCGTCAAGTCCTTCTTTTGACCCATTTTGCCAAAGGAAAAGAAGTTGCCTAATAATTATGCACACCTGATATAGGGTGTTGATGTCCCTAAACCACACCCCTTCTCGTTACAGAGATGCACATCACCTAATTTGCTTAACCCCCAGAAACCCAAATTTAGAAAACAACTGCAAAATCTTTTTTTAACCTTTCACATGTTGTTCTAGGAGGCCAGATAAACAGGCCTATTTACACATTTTAACAGCCAATAGTGTTGCAGAACTGAACAGTAGGCCCTATTAGCAATGTAAATGTGGTTTTAAAAAGAAAAAAATATGGGGAAGGTTTATTTTTGTAGACTTAAATCTGATGTTGTAATATTACAACCGTGGGTCTCTGGGGGTTAATTGGTAGTAGGCTTTCGAGCCTATACAGCTTGGAGTAAGACAACATGCATGAAGAGGGTGATGTGGACAAAGTACTGATTTGCCTGATAATTCTGCACTCCCTGTACATTTTCTTTTAAAAAATGCTATCTGGGTCTTCCTGTCTCTCCTATACTTTTTCCATAATGTATAACTTTTTTATTTTCTTTAAGCTATTCCTACTAAAACTATACAAATTAATAAAAGCATTGTGAATGTGACTGTCCCAAGTTTAATAATTCTTCTCTATAACACCCTATATTGGCTCAAATTCACCATTTTCTCCTTTCTTGTAGCTCTACAAACTAAAAAAAAGCAAAAAATTCCACACAGAATAATTTCTCTCCCCTTTTGCAGCTGAACCTGCTTCTACAAAGGAGAACAACTGTCTGAATGCAGCCAAGGCCTGTAACCTGAATGACACATGTAAAAAATATCGCTCTGCTTACATCAACCCCTGCACTAGCAGGGTGTCCACATCTGAGGTCTGCAACAAACGTAAATGCCACAAGGCTCTACGACAGTTCTTTGACAAGGTAATTAGGTGTGCCGAGCTAGAGAGCTTTTATTACCTTTGACTTTGATGTTGACCCTCAAACTAATGTGTACCAGGAGACAAATCGTCAGGAAAAACTTTTATCGTGAATTTAAATTGAGCTCACTTCTAATCCAATCTCTTTGTAGAGTTCTCAGTGGTGATAATATGCAACGCCGTATGTTGTAATCCTTCACTGAAAGCGGCTCTTGATGTTGAATGTGAGCCACGCTAGAATCTAGACGCTTCCCTGAGGAGGGTTTTTTTTTTCTTTGTTGGATTTGCAAGAAAGATGAAAGTTTTACATCAGTGTGTTTTGTGTCATTTCCAAAAATCAAGGTTCCAACTAAATACAGTTATGGGATGCTGTTCTGCCCCTGTCCAGCGGGAGATAAGACGGCCTGTGCAGAACGAAGGCGGCAAACGATTGTCCCCATCTGCTCCTATGAGGATAAAGAAAAACCCAACTGTCTTTCACTTCAGAACACGTGCAAAACCAACTATATCTGCAGGTAAAACAGTTAATGGAGATCACTAAGAAGATTATTTTTGAGTTAATCTACTTTTATGATTTTCATGTGATGTGTGCCTCATTTGTAATATCAAATGAAGTTAAAGGAATGAGCTATTCTCACATTTTAAAAAGGCTAATGTAACAGGACTATTTTCTTGTCTTGTGCACTAAAACAAGCTTTAAAGGTGAAATAAGTAGAAATTTTACAGTGAAATAATCACATATGAATCTAATCTCATGTTAGAAGGAGGGTTGACCGATTTCTTTCTCAGCCAGCTAGGTGGTTGTCATGTTTTCTCCTTTTAAAAAAACAAAGAGGATGTAGTCATTCAGTGTGATTGCATGCACATCAAAGTTGAACTACAACAATAATCAAGTTAATACCTTAACCAGAATGTAAGCCTTTATCCTAGTATACATGCCCGTTAGAAAACTGAAATATTGAATGATGTGCATTTGACTCCACGACAGTAGGTGGCGGCATGCACCCTTTCTGCATTTTTCCAGTTAGCTTGCAGTAACTCATACATTTTAAACAAACGCTGGCAGGAGGGAAGCAGATGGAGCAAATGCAGGATATGCAAAATGTCCAAAGGAATGGACAACAGCAACAATGCTATATGATACATTTGGTACATAACGTTCTATTTGATGGTGTTACATGAGTAACTGGCAGTAACATTATCAGAGGACCGCTTTTGTGGTCTCGTCACTTCCTGCAGGATGATGCCCAGGCTAGTCATAGCTCGGATAAGCTGGAATGTTGATGACATGCAGAGAAATCTGATTGTCTAACCACATTATCTGGGTACCTTTAACTTGATTAGGAGTAGTCCAGATGGTTCTTCTTTAGCTGGACTAAGGTGTTTACATGCATTTTAAAAGTCTGAATTTAGACAGACTAAGGCAGTCATTCAGTTTTCTGACACCTCATTTAAACGAACAGATTACAACATTTCCCACCTCTGTACTTCCTGGTTCCAGAGACAAACATATGTGAGCCCCAAAGTTGCCAAGTTTTTAAACACTGCGCCGGCATTTCTAATTTGACACCGGCCAGCAAAGAGCAGCAGCGTTGTAGAAAAAATGGAAGCCAGCATGGAGCGACCATTTCTTGTACCCATAAGAAGTTATGGCATCTTTTTGTTTTACTCTAATATTGGGTCAATAGGTTAGAGACTAACACTGAGAAAAACAATGAAATAAAAAAAAGAATGAGCTCCAAAACTATCTCAAGCTACTTTTTCAAGTACATACAACTCCATATTACAGTGAAATGTACAGTTTGTATCTATTTCTCAACTTATTGTGAGTGACCCATCTTTGCTTGTCATCTAGAATCTTGGTGCTAATCCATAACTGGCAACCATGAAACACAAAGGGGTGAAGGGGTGGTTGTTTTGATGTCTGAACTACAGTACCCAAATCTGACCACAAGATGTCATTTTTGCGTTGTGCACCTTTAAAGATAATACTTTATTTTAAAAGACACTTTCTGCCTCTTTGTGAGATTTTTTTGAGGTCCTAATCAAATGTCTTTTACATAATTTGGTCAAAGTGCAACTGACTGTTTATATTATGAGGAGCTTAGAGAAACCAGGAAGAATATGAGCTGAGAAGGAAGATCGGAGGGTACAGACAGTGACTTTATAACAGATATATGTAGAGTAGGCAGTGAAATGAGAAACTGCATCAAAAATAACTGATGGCCTTTGTTCAAGAACAGAACAAACACCGATACAATCCCTCTGCCTACTGTCATAGACCAGTGGAGGATGATATGAAAATCTGGCCAACACTAACATACAGTAGCATTTTAGCTACTTTTATACAGTTGTGCCAGCAGGTTTACACACCGCTGGTGGATTTTGGGATGTCTTTTTTTTCCATTTCTCAAAGAATATTTATGAAAACACAGCAACATTTTATAACTCATGGACAATGATGTTGTGAGGCCATTTGTTGTGGAAAAAATGTGTCAACTCATTTCATATCACCATATCAAGATGACCCTGTCAAAAAGTTTACACACCTCAGCAGTTTGGCATGAAACATGGGTTTGAACGGCTGCTAAAGGTAACCATCCTCACCTGTGATCTATTTTCTTGCAGTCAGTGTGTGATTATAAAAGGTTTGTGAGTTTTGAGGCTCTTGACAAACCCTAGCATCTTCCATCTTGAGCTGTACTGAAGTTTTTTGTTTCTGAGTCACAGGGAAAGCAAAAGAACTGTCACAGGATCTATGAGAAAAGGTGACTGAACTCTATAAAACTGGAAATGGATATAAAAAGATTAGAGTAAAACAGGCTGCAAGGCCAAGTAACCAGAAAAAAAAACATTACTGCAGAAATGCAACAAAGCTTCTTTGTATAATACGCCAAACAGCACCAAAACAAGTCTCAAAATTTCTGGAACAGAATAATTTGAAATAAGACCAAAATTTTACTTTTGGAGAGGAGTCGACAAGGCCTATGTTGAAAAGTGAACCACTCCTACTGTGAAATATGGAGGTGGTTCACTGATGTTTTGAGGGTGTAAGTTACCAAGGCACTGGAAACCCGATCAAATTTAATAGAAAGATGAACTTGGCAGCTTATCAAAAAATACTGGTGGAGATTTTTTTCCACTCATCACCCAAAAGCAGCACGTGTCCGACAAGACAATAGGCATGTTTCCATTACCAAAGCTCCAGGGTAGTCCTGATGGGGAACTTGACCAGGAGATAGGATGTCCCAGTCCTCCCAGCTGTTGTGTCTCCATTCAAATCCAGCCCTTTTAGAACTTGCACAGACGTCATCATAACACGACTGCTTTGGCAGTGAGTGATGTCACTCATCAACCCCAAAAAGTGCCCAAAGTAACATTAATAATATTAAAAGCAATTATTTTCTAGAAGTATATATATTAATTTAATCCATTCAGAGGACAATAGCAGCTAGAGCCCTGCACGGGCCTAAAATCTGAGCCCGTGTCCGACCCGGCCCGAGGGGGTGGAGCCCCAGCCCGACCCGGTCCGAAAAGGTTTTCAGGATTCTCTGGCCCGACTCGAGCCCGAGCCTGACTTTTTTTTTAACCAACTAAATTAAAACAAAGTGTGTCAATCCTGACCAACGTGTTAAAAGACGTGCAGGATCTGAACAATTTGTTTTTCCCTCGTTTACCGTCACGGAGATAACGGCGCACTGGCTCTGGTGGTAATCAAGTTAAATTTGATCTCTTTCCAACAATTTTCACAAGAAAACAAAACAGTCAAAAGCAGGGCTTGTGTTGACCAGATAGTTCCCGTATTTGACGGTTTATTTTGACGGAGGAAGAATAGAAAGAATTACCCCGATGCATGCAGACGAACTGACATTTTATTCGTTAAGCACTGCGCAGGATTCGGGATGAGTATTATGGAGTCAGCAACTGATGTTGAAAAGAAGCTGAAACAAGGCCTTTATGACACAAAAACCAAAGCAAGGCAAGTCAGACATTTGAAGGAGTTTCTCCGATCAGGTCTCTCTTAGAAAAGCGACCTCGATCACTGCCTGATTACAGAGGAGAATAGAATATGAAATGGCCTTGATTTCATTACCCCTTTAAGCACCACACATTAGGTCCTTTATGTATTTTTTAAGAATTTTATAGATGAAGTAGCGAGGAGTTATTTGAAATCACATGCGCCGATGCGTCACCAGGATCACCGGTGACGCATCGGCGTTAAAGGGTTAAAAACTAAATGAAAACAAAGTGCGTCAATCCTGACCAATGTGTTAAAAGACGTGCAGGATCCGATCAATTTGTTTTTCCCTCATTTACAGTCACGGAAAAACAGTCAAAAGCAGGGCTTGTGTTGACCGGATAGTTCCTGTATTTGACTGTTTATTTTGACGGAGAAAGAATAGAAAGAACTACCCCGACGCATGCAGACGAACTGACATTTTATTTGTTACACACATCTCAGATGTAGCTAAATCACCCAAGAAAAGATTCCCATCTGAACATCTGAGTTGCTCAGCGCAGCTCGCTGTCAGCGCATATGTGCACAGCGAGCTGAAGTTGTGGAGATTGGCTTGGAGCGCGTTGCAGAACCAGAGTGCATGAGAGAAGATTCCTCCCACTGAAGCGAGTGTTTTCCAAACCTTGTCGCTCAGAGAGACTTGTCACTTAGAAAATGTTCCCTGATTATGAAACTTTGGCTGAATAGTGCTTGTTCCTGTCTCCAATGTGGCGACACATCCAGGAGCCTGTCTGAGGAGAATCCCAGAATCTCTTCAGCTCCGAAAGCGCCTATGATTACGCACAAGCGTGACCCGTCAACCCGGTCTCACAGTAAGACTGGGTTGGACCTGTTCAGGCTTACACAGACAATCTTTACATAGAATTGACTTACAGACATAAAATTAATGCAGTAAAATAGAAAGCATTTTATTTAAATATGCATTCATTATTTTACAAGCAGAGAGAGCCGCATCAGATGGATGGAAGAGCCGCGGGTTGTGACATGTTTTCTCCAGGACCAAAGAGGACGCAAACTCAATACATCTCTTTTATTGTGAGGTAATAATTTCTCCGAGTTTTGCGGTTGCGGGTGGGAGTAGACATGCACGCTACGGGTGCGGGCAGGAGTGTAACACACACGTTGCAGTTGCAGGCGGTAATGGTCAGAAATTCAGTGGGAGTGGGCAGGAGCAGGATGAAGAAAACAGTCCCGCGCAGGGCTCTACTGCTGCGTTTGTGTTTGAATTTTTTAATGAATTCGATTAAAAATAAAGGCGCCCGGCCCGTGTCCGAGGTAATTACATAGTCGCTGGCCCGAAGCCCGGCCCGACGGCCCTCGGGCCGGGCCAACCCGAGGGCCTAGGGCTTCAGTGCAGGGCTCTAATAGCAGCTCTTGGTTTTGTGAGACAACCCCCATTAATTAAGTCTGTAGGGCAATTTCTTCATTTTTTCCAACAGCTGTAGGGGAATTCCACTGAGTTTTCTGGTGTTGGGAGTTGGATTTTAAGTGCAATGT